TTTGAAATTTGATTATGATCGAATTTTGAGGGACGTTTCTTCAAAAGAAAATTTTGAAAAACACGGCTTATTCCGATTTTTGAGGTTTTAATGACGTTTTAAAACGTCACCCGTCCCGAAAGGGTTAGAAGACCCTTATCGGTCTCGTAATGTAAAAGTTGAAATAGAAGACTCCTGTTTCTAAAATTTTTTTAGAAAAGAACGTCAATTATACTGATAACAAAACGATATTTTCGGGAAACGTTTTCTTGGAATACAATAAAAGATCCCTCTAAAATTTTTAAAACTTAGGACAGATTAGAACACCTAAGTCTAAAATGTGACAACCTCTTCTTTTTATGAATAATTATCATTGTTTACTTATCTATGATGTTTTTCAACAAAAATAAACATTTTCAGAAAAGTCACTTTTCTCGAAGAATGGATGTTGCAGATTTATGAGAAAAAATTTCGATGAATTTTTTTCGATGCAAAAGTTATTGCATTATAGTTGGTTCGATGCAACTGGAGTCATAGTCGTATGCCAGTTTCATCGAGAAAAGACGCGTTTGGTAGAGAAAAATATATTTTATCTGTAGATCCGGATTTTGTTTGAAATGCTCTGACGGGATCTAGAAAATAGCTACACGGATGTACTATAAATAGAAAAATATATTTGCGAAGGTTGAGCCAGTTTGAAGTTTACAAGGGAGACTCTCCAGGTTATAAATCGCTTTTTGATCGAAATCTGGTGGGTTAAAGGTTATCGACCATGCTGATTCCGATATGTGAGTATGGGAGCTGCCCATGGTCGTTCGAAGATACGGTTTTCGGGAAAACCAGTTTTTCAGAAACTCTAAAAAATAATCCACACCTTTCTTAATGAGACATAATTGTAGCCGGCAAATTTCTGATTAAAATGAGACATCTCCCAGCTCTACATGACCTTTCTTTGCAAGGTTATAGAATTTACGAGAAAAGCCCTAAATTAATTTCTTTTTTCTGTAGCTCTGAGCATTTGGAGATTGAGACTGGACTGAGATTGATTACTGATATTTTGCTCAATTTGATTTAATCCACGATTTTGTGACATCTTCACTTTACTCCAGAATATTGTGAACGTTAAATACTTCCCTCTTCTCATTGTGCTTGATATGTGAATACATGAGCAAAGTGATTGAGTTTATCGTCACGGTATATCTGTAGGATGTAAACGTTTAAAATGAACTCATATCGGCATAGACGCCATCGTTCAGAGAGAAAAGTCTGGTACGCTTTGATAAAAAAGCCTTTTTCGATGTATTATTATACATACAATAGGTAATAACGTAACGTAAGTAAAATATGACTACAGTAGCAAGTATTGTTACTATTTTGATATTCTGTCAGAATACAAGCGGAAAAATATGCCATTATAGTATTCTAAACTGAAACTATCAAGAAACACAAAATCAGTTTTGTACGAACAGAAATTCGAACAAATGAACTCAGTTTACTATTTACAATTTTAGTTACTATTTTCCTTTGTAACAATACTTTTCTTACAATAGCGTATGCTATATATTACCGAAAATCGAAGTATTTGTAAAATGAGAGATGCCATTAGTATAATTAGTAATTGTTCTCTGTCTCTACAGAAGAAAATGTGTTACCGAATCAAAAGAAAACGATGACATCCTGTCAAAGTATCATTTGACGCGTATCTGATAGCTGTTATGTATATCTGTTGTAAGTAATAATAAGTGACATTTTTCCTCTTTTCTCTCATTGAATATTATCTTAATTTTTACTAGCATCAATACTATTAAAGTCATGTTTTGTGTCCTGCTGTTATTCATTTTCCATCCAGGGTTGTCTCTTCTATGTCACAATTGTACTCATGTCACACTGAATCATTCTCTATCGGCGAGCAATATGCCACATCTGTCTTCATGTAAATTGGTCAAGGTTAAAGATGATTATTGTGACATTAATATCGAGTGGTATAAAGGGGAACAATCAACAATTTCTATTCGTCCACAAGATCGGGAAATTTATCATCCACACGTCGGAGAAGCGATCATATCGGTTACCGCATATCCATTCCTAACAAAACACGACCTCAATGAAACACGATGGACCCATACTGTTCTATATCATTGTAATATGGACAAATGTAATCATCCCGATAAACTCTACGCACTGTTGAAATCTGTCACATCCGTCAGAAAGTTTGAACAAATATTACCCATGTTAATTTCAAGTACCACGACGAATCAACCGTTAAACTGTTATAGATATACGAATTCTAGCTATTCATGCGATATACACGCAAACCGTTTATCGTGTTCTGGTTCTTGCTTAGGAATATGGGATAAAAATGGAATATGTGCAATGTGTGACAACGAGGTTTCATATCAGCATCCACAGATTTTCATGGCCGAAAGCATTTATATACTAGCTAACCGTACACGTGAACAACGTGTTCTACTAGCATGCACTGCGTCGATGTGCAATTCGCTTGAAAATACACGACGAATATTGCAAGCGCATAACAATGAATTCGATATTGACACATTTTTATATAACGTACAGCTTGTGAGTAACGGAGCATATGAACCTAAAGTGGTACTGATATTGACGGTTGTCTACGTTTTTGCCTTACAGAAACTCAGCTGATACTCTCAACATTTCTTAACAATAAAAAACAAATTCTGAGTACTACTATTGAAGCACATTCATAAGGTTCCTTTCTAGAGATGTAGTGTTACTCAGCACAATTCTAATATTCATTATAATAAGTATAATGAAAAATTAACACTACTATCCGAGCCAAAATACTAGAGCAGTGGTTATTTTTTGGATAACTCAGCACCAAATAAAAATATAGGCTTGTGATTTTCACCATTCGATAGCCAAGACTTGAGGCGATTTCTACAAGCAAAGCCGACTTTTGGAAAATTTCGCGAAGCCGGATTCCAAAGCATCTTTGGAAACTTAGCTTGGATTTTCCAAAATTCAAATAGAAATCTATTGATTGCGTTAAGAGCATATGTAGTCCGAAGTGTCGTCTACAAAATCGAATTTAAGCGACATCTTGAAAACCCATGGTTCGGGAGCTATGGACGTTTTTCCTGAAGCCGTAGCATTCCTCTGCCGTTAGGTTTGGGACTGTGAGAAATGAATGAAAACGTAGGTTATCGGTTATGCTAAATCTCGTGGTAATGTTAGTTTTCAAAACAAAATGCAAGAAACGAGTGAAAACCTATACTAGGTGAAATAACACATTTTGAATATTTTCATCAAAAATTAAATAATTCAGAATTCAGTCAAAATCTACCCAACCTACTTCAGAATGTCAACAAATACTCTATTTTATCTGCAGCATACTGTAAACAAATGTTGAAAAAACCAACAGATAATACTTTGGTTTCTAGAAAGGTTTCTGAGAAACCTTTCTAGAAACTAAAAGAATATTTTTATTGGTTTTACGTACAGAATTAGAATGAGCGGATAAAATAGAGTATTTGTTGACATTCTGAAGTAGGTTGGGTAGATTTTGATTGATTGATGCTCAGTGATATTTGAGAGAATATTTGTGTTTAGAACTATTGCCTCTCGCTATAGTACTACGGTTCCAGACAGTACGATTATTTTCAGGTCAACACTCTCACCCTCTCTCTCTCTCTCCTTAGATCGATATATATTTGATAATGTACTGCTGTACTGAGTTTTTGTTCTTCGTGATTGTTTGATTTGAATACAGTCATGCATACCACAATAAGTTTTGGATAGAATATCTATCTATTGAAATGCTTTCTCATAAACCAGCAAGATCGATTTTCTGAAAATATATTTTTTTTGTTGAAAAACATCGGAGATGAGTAAGCCATGACTTTGGGAAAGCACTGATTTCGGTTCTCACCGCTGGAACCAGAATCGGCTGGAACTAGTCAGAATCGAAAAAAAATTATTTTATTGTTCAATCATTTGTACACAGAAAATCAGATATCTGCTAACTGTCGATCATTTGTAGGCTTGTAATTCTTTCTTTCCTACTGAACAGAGATGGACAAGCCCAATTGAGAGTTTGGATTTAAGTCCGTACTCGAAGTTGTTTTTGGTGGACTTGGACTTTGAACTTTTTTTTATCAAGTCCGTTTGGAATCTAAGCAGCTAAAATCTATCATATTCAGCAACGGGATGGGTATGATTTGATATCTAACTTATTAATCTTCTTTTTGTCACACATTCATCTAATGTGTGAATAAAATTAAAAAAGCAAGCATCAGAGTGCTTGTTGTGGTTATTTCCTGGAAACTAGAAGAACAACCGACAGTCGACAATAACACACAGCCGTTATAAATGTCTACTTTAATTGGACTTTCACTCTTCGAATGTCGTTCGCAGTGGCTACCAGCTGTGGATGCGTTGTCGGAAGTAATCTGCGTCTTACTGCTACTGCTTGTTATGATACTCTAGTGCTGCTTGCCAAGTACGAGTTGCTTCATGCACGAGTCCCATATTACGGTATGTTAAGGCTAGTAGAGGGTGATCGGGCGGAAGAGCTTTTAATCTGATTTCCAATGCTTTGTCATAATTCATCAAAGCTAAATCAGATTTACCTTTGTTCTGATATACAATACCCAGTCCTATGGAACAAGAAGCAATACCAGAATCACCCACTGCCAGCTCATTTAATAATCGTTTATAATATTTTTCGGCCTTCTCCAATTCACAATCTTTGACAACAAATTTCCAAGTGAAATGAGAGTAGTTTTACTCCCCATCTCTTTCTTCATATGGGCAAACACTTGTTTCAAATCATGTTCATCTTCGTTCCATAAATCTAAATCAACCACTCAGATTTGCTGTTCTTTGTCATAGTGAACACTTTCAAGTCGCAAGATTGAACCGAGCACAAGCAAGATTTCTTCCTCACCAGGGAAATACCGGCAAATGGTTTTGCTTTTATTCGACTGTCGAATGTAATGTTGAAGAGAACACATTCAACATTTTCACAATGAGGACTTTGAGCAAATTCAACTGCCTTCTTCTGACTACGAGTTGTCGATAGAAAGGAGTTTATCGAAATCAATCGTAATTAGCATGGCGATAACCTATAACCCACTAGATTCCGAGCAAAAAGCGTTTAATCACTTCAAAAGGTTCCCTATCAGTTAAAGTTGATAAAATTCCTTACATATTATCCGGTATTATTACATATTATGTCATAGGAAGAATGGATATCCATTAATCAAATCAATTATTTTTTTATTATTATTGCTGTTTGTGTAAGTTGCTGCAGTCTAAGTATCTTTTTGAGATGCTTGTTAAAATATTTCAACGACACATGATGTTGTTTCACCATAATCTAATATTTCAATTACTGTACGGTTTCGACCTGGATTTTTGAAATGTTATTGGTACTAAGACTAGTGGAAATTATTCGAAGCAGAAAACATTATGTGCAAAATGTAAGTCGACTTATATAGCGTTTGCCGCAAGTATCAGAAATTTCTCCCAAATAAACATTTTTTTATAAATCATTACTATTCTCCAGTCGAAACAAAATCTTATAAACGATACATCTTTAAAAACCATAATTTTGCGCAAAAACTCGCCTAAGAAATTACACTTGTTTTGTTATTCACAACAATGTCTCTCTTTTTTAAATTAATCTCGATCCCGTTGCTCGGTCTCTGCTCTCTTGTTTTATTCTTTATTTAAACAGCTGTTATCCTTGAGGTCTGTTTTTATCTAAAATTTTAAAAACTAGAAAAAAAGTTATAAACAGGGAATTGAATCGAATTGAATTGAAAAATTTTCTTTAAGACCTATGAATTCAATTCAATTCAATTCAAAAAAGTCTCGCAAAATTTTGCGGTGTGATTCATTAATATAATAAAATTGAAAATGATCAGTGCATGATTATGATTTAGTTTTTATCAAAGTCTTTCGCATCGATGTGGCTGATTTAGTACATGTTTCAATATATATACATATATCTATATATTTAATATTTCTCTAGCAATCCCATAATCTTATCGCTATTTTCTTCTTTTATCTGTTCGGTATGTTTATAAGCTTTGTCTGCTAAGGTTTTCAATGTACCGACGTGTATATCGATTCTTGCAGATCATAGGTGCAATGTTTATTCATCTGTTTATATACTAGGCCAACATTTTGCATGGTATTTGTTTTGGTGCACTGATATGATATCAGTTAGACAATGTAATAGACGATAGTGAAGTTCAATGATAAGAAAGACTCGATGTTTATTATGAAAAAACATGGAGTTTACATTTAGGATATGTGACAGTCTAGGGAAGTCGAGAAACTTCGTCTGAGTTGATTTCAACTCAATTAAGTAATTGAATTGAGTTGAATTAAATTTTAAAATTTTTTCCAGTATATGTGAATTGAGTTGAAAAATATTTTTCAATATGCATGAATCAAACTCTAAAAAATTCTGGAATTATATGAATTGAATAGAATTGAATTGAGAACAGTTTTCAGAGATCCCGAGTTGAACTGAATTGAACTTTTCTTTCAATGAATTAAATCGAATTAGACACATTTTTGAGTTGAGTTGCCCAACTCTGCCTGCGAGGGTCCAAAATTTCTTCCTGGGGGCTTGGTAGATGTCCAGAAAGAGGTGGCGTATGTTCTCTAATCACTGCTGAGTGTAGAGAAAATCAGGAAAGACTTGGTATGGTATGGAGACACTGAAGGATGACTTATCCGATCAATACGCTTGGTGTGTGCGCCAATGCATTGAAGATATATGTTACCTCAGCTGACATTCATTGGATAAATATTTCAAAAACGAAAGAAATCTAAATACGATTTGACTTCCTCATTTCATTTTTTCCGCTTGGACTATCATTATGGAGATACTCGCTGTTTACAACTTGATGTTCTTTCGTTTTTCTTTCGTTTTTGAAATATTTATCCAATGAATTTCAGCTCAGGTAACATACATTAGTATTGATGCATTTGGTATTTCAATTGATTCGATATTCTGCCATCGCTTTTTCGGCACATTCCACGTACCAGTAGATGAATAGAAAGAGGTGGCGGATTGTCTCTCATCATTGCTGAGTGTAGAGAAAATTAGCAAAGCCTATAGAAAATCGAAAAACACTTGTTAAGTGACCAGAAAGATGTGGCGGATTTTCTTTAATCATTGCCGAATCTAGAGAAGATCGAGAAACACTTTCAAAGTTTATCATCGTCTTAGTTCTCTCTCCCTCTTTTACTCTATTCATCGTCCTCATTACTCTTCCTTACGTTGTCATCATTCTAAATATGTTCGCATTCCAACCTCTGTCAATGGTTTTTCTTCTCAAACAGTTTTCTCTTCTTTTTTCTGTTCAACTATTACTGATTGGAATAAACTTCCTGAGTCAGTTATTTGCTTTTCTTCATTAGCGTCTTTCAAAAATGCACTAGTTGAGTATCTCTTACAGTAAAATTTCAGCCGTGTTCCTAGTCATAATTAACTTGTATTGGTGTTTCTCTAACATTATTTTATTTGTGTCTATCTTTTGTTGTTACTTTATATCCTTATTGCATATTCTAGTCTCTTTTTTTTTTCTTTATTTCCATTATTATTATTTATTTGTTTTTTTCTGTTTTGTTATTCTCTATCTCGGCTTCCCTGATAGATAGAGGCT